AAAGTTTTAGCTACGACACGATGGGTGAGATCGCAAGATCGTTATGTAAGGTCAGGTTGGATACGTAAAAAGGTGCTTTAGTTATAGCTCGGAGCGCTTTTGATTGAGAACGTTGAATACGGTTTGTTTGACGTATTATTCCGGGTTATCAACCACGGAGAATAATTTCGTCGTGTGTGGATGAATTTAAATTTTACCCGATACTGTCCCTAATCAATAAATTCAATGTTTGTAATATACCTATATAAGTTGGATTGATATTTTCAATACTCAATTATGATAAATAATAATAAAAATCGTACAGCCCTACTTACGAACTATGTTAGTAGCTTGGACACAATGGTTTTTAAATAATAATAATAACGAATTCAATAATAAATGTTTTGACAATAATTGTTGGCGTAAAGCCGACTCACAACACCCTTGATGAATAATCGATGGCGGCAATGAATCGCAAAACCTCCACAATCGACAACCAGCGCTTGAATATCATGTAGTCCAATGTGGATATGGTGGTGATCGAGGAACAGCGCAGGTTTTGAATAAGTGAATTGTAGTTAAAAAGAAAACCGAAATTACTCCGCAAAGCGCAAAACCGCACGAGACACAAATACTAACTATTCAACTATCTGCCTATAGATACTAAATAATAGTTAGATACTTCCCTTTTAAACATTAATATTTTTCATATCAATCATTTTATTTTTATAATCAAGAATGTACTGTTTATAGTTTATTAATAATAAATACAACATATAACAATGTAAAAAATCCACTTTATATTGTTTTTTTAATTGAGATAAACATAATATAACAAATGAAAAATAACAAAACTCAATAAGTTAAAATTATACATTTCGCATATCAGTCTTTTGATTTACAGCTTATGTATGTACATAAAAATTTGATTTTATATTATTAGACAACATATTTTATATATTATATATATGAAAAACAGCCTTAAAAATTATATTATTTGTTTCATTAAGCAAATACATAATCCAACAAATAAAAATTAAATCTATTTAAAAACTAACTCATAACAGTATTATCGGTCTTTAGGGTAATCTACTCATCTGGATCAGAATAATCCATATTAATGTCTTAAACAAACGATTATGAATAATTACTATAAGCAATAAGCATCACTTAAAACCATTGTGGTGACTGGTGAGTTACATAATTATTTGTAAACTTGATACTGATAAGTGATAACTGATTAGTGATTACCATTTTGCACTTGATCTTTTGTGATTACTAGGGAACGGATTTTAATTTAGTATAAAATTAAAAATATTTAAATATATATTTGTTTATTACTTAATAAATATTTATTTATAAATGTATAATATTTAAATATTTAAATTGAAAATAACATAGAATTATTAAATAATTAATTAAAAATATAAAAAAATTAAAAATCTATTCTGATTCATCATAGTCTTCATGTGGGAAACAGTTAGAAACAACATATAGCTTGAAATTTTCAAATGCAAAGTGGCGGCGGTTCGGTCTTAACATTGCTTTGTAACGGCTGAATGACCTCTCCACATCAACGGACGTGACAAGTGCATATTTCATACACATTATTTCTTTTGGAGTGTATTCAATTTCTGAATATTTGTTATTTAGAGTTTTGTTTAATAGTATGTCTCTTATTGACATTACAGTATTAAAACCTGTGTTTTTTTCCAATACATTTTTTAATTTTGATTTGGTCAAAACTCCAACTTCTCCAGGAACCCGTTCTAATTGCTTTATGGCATTATCAACTATTTCTAAGCTCTCCGTTAGTGGCATTTTAGAAGTTTCTAATTTTGAAATAGTATCAACCAAAAATCCAAAATTAGTCGAAATAAATGCTAAATTGTTTTGCAAATTTTTACTGTCTATGAGCTCAACAGTTTTTTTTATTGTTATTGCAGCTTCGGGATCTAAATTTAAGACAACGTTTCTAATCTTTTCAAAGTTATTTGAATAATATAATACAGCTGATAACTACGTACCCCATCGAGTTATAATAGGCTCGGGAGGTAGAGTTAAATCCGGGTACATATCTTTAAATGTTTGTACACGACTTGGCGCTTTTAAAAATATTTTTTTTGATGTCAAAAGTGTACAGTACAGAGACCTAATCGTATCGCAAAATACTAAAATAAAAATGGAAATTCTTCAATAATACAGAATACGTATATTTATTTGTAAAATAATTAAAATATACACGGAAATTCTACAATATTACATAATTTATGTATTTATTTGTAAAAAAAATTAATTATTCTAAAATATTTAAAAATATTTAATTATTCTAAAATATTTAAAAATATTTAAAATAAAATTAGCATCAGATTACTTGAAATTAAATGAAACGTATACATATATCGAACACTTTCCGATGCTATTATTACATAAAAATATTTATTTAAATTAAAATCCTTTCCCTAGTGATTACCAATTACTGATAAATGATAATATTGAGTACCTAAATAATTATTGTATTTAATATTTTAATAAAATATATTATTATATTTTTTTTTTTTAATTTTCACAATTGTTTAAATTCCCACATATGGGTGATTTATTTAAAAATTTCCCTTTGTCCCTTTTACAAAATTTTATGATAGAATTTACCCGCGCCGTGGGAATTTCCCACACACCTGGCAACACTGCCGCTATGTCGACCGTCTTTGAAGCCGTCATGGAGGTATATAAACTATACTGGAGCGCGCACTGCGTATACCGTCCGTGTAATGAAAAACGAGCCGACGCGTTCGATCGTTTCCCCCACCACTGCAGGGCAACTTTAATGCCATGTACCGTATAATAGTACGACGTACCTACTACCTTTAAGTGTATAATACATTAATTTTTCAAAAATTATTAAATTAGGAATCAATAAAAATAATTTAATATCATTTAATTTTTTTAATAGCAAAACATTAAAAGTATTAGCCCTTAGTATAGTATACTCTAATATATATTTGAGAAATACAATACTTATCATTACTACACATACAATATAAAATTAAAAATACTAATGAAAATATTTATTATTTCCTTTAAAAATATTATAATAACATATAATTTAACATTCATTTACATAATATCATACTAAAATAAATTACATTCAAATTATAAATAAAAGTATAAAAACAAATCAAATACACTCAATGAGTAGTTTTAACAGTTTAAATATTGTTAAATAAAATTAATTTTGTTAATTTCTGCCTTAATGATGATTTATTTTTAAATACTTGTTTAGAGTTTATGTCTTTGGCATAATGACGCATTCTTATATTAACAAAACATTGACTTAAGTGCAGTAAAGAGGCTATACTCATGACTTGGGGAACCAATATCAACAGTAAAAGGATGTGAATTTGGGAAAAAAAAGTAGAGTACTTTTGTTCAATATATTTTTTTTTGCTAACATTACAATGTTTTGTTTCATATTGTTATGTAATTTTTTATTTATAACAACAACAGCTTGAAAAGAGTTTTCAAGCTCTTGAATAATATAAGTGATACACCTGATGAAACTATTTTCAATTTCCCCCGATTTACAAAAGATGTAAAATTTGCATATTTTACATAGCTATGATCTGTTAGATCACTTTTTACTAATATATCAATTCAGTAAGGACACACAACTTTTTTGCAAATATTTTTTACAATATATCCAGCAATATAATCAAGTATTTCATTAGTATATTCAATTAACTTTACTGTATTACGATTATTAACGAAATAACCATTTTTGTTCATATAATATATTAGAATGTTTTTGACGAATTTTAATATTAATAGAAAAATAAGGTTAAAGACAAAAAAACAGCACAAACAATTAACCAAGAGTTCAGAGCCATGAGAACATACTTTGGTAAAGTAGGTAGGTATTGACGGATTGTCAATAGGTGAAGGTTACCAATTTAAATTAAATAAAAAAGAATTGCAAATACGGGTAGTTAAAAATCGTATGTACGTGTATTCAATAAATATAGACAAAGAGTAAAATTTGACAAACGTGAATCTAAATAACGAGGTTGGTCCGGCGTAACGTTGCGTATCGTGAGAGCGCGGTCGCGGTGCGTTTTGACGACGTACGTCCGAAAGAGTGAGCGTTTTGTCGGCAACGGTCGCGTCATGGAGGCAGTGTTACCCGCAGAATATAAACTTAAAGGAGAGGGGCGCGGTGATACCGCGGTTACAAGACGCTGTTGTTGTGGGTCACCACACTACTCCCCCCGGGAAGTAAAAAACGGACTTGTTTTTTTGAGATGGTGCTGGCGGCGTATGAGTGGTCGGTCAGTGACGGGTTCTCGCGGAGCACGAATGCCGGCTTGAGCCTGTCGACGGAAACCCATACCTGGCGATTGTTGCACTGCAGCTTGAAGTTCTTTTCGCATCGCTCTAAAATTGCGTGTGGTCCCTCGTAGCGTGGTTGCAGAGGTGGCTTGACTGCGTCTATTCGTAGGAATACATGGCTGACGTTGGATAGGTCCTTTGGCACGAATATTGACCGTCTCGTGTTGTGGTTTGTACCTGGCGTAGGTCGCAATTGTGCCATGGCGTCGCGTAACGTCGCGATTAGTTCCGGTGGGTTCGGTGTTGGTGGTGCGGGATTGAACAGCTCACCGGGCAACCGTAGGGTAGTGCCATATACCATCTCCGCTGGGGCTAGTCCGACGTCCGACTTGACCGTACTGCGCAAGGCGAGCAAAACCAACGGCAATTTGGTGCTCCAGTGGGTGGACTCTTGTGTGGTGAGCGCGTCCTTGAGCGTCCTGTGCAGTCGCTCGACCATGCCATTCGCCTGAGGGTGGTACGGGGAGGTGCGTATGTGCTGTATCCCGAACGTTTCTGACATTACCCGGAACAGATCGGCCTCAAATTGCCGTCCTTGATCTGTCGTAACAACGTCGGGTAAGCCGAAGCGTGAAAACCACTGACTTACTAAGGTGACAGCGACGGCGTGGGCGGACATGTTTTCCAGCGGCCAAGCTTCCGGCCAACGTGTGTACCGGTCGATGCATGTAAGCAGGTACCTGTTCCCGTTTGATGAAGGAAGTGGTCCTACGAGGTCTATATGAATGTGACCGAATCGGCGTTCCGCCGTCGAAAACGGTACAATCGGCGATACCGTATGTTTGCCCGTCTTGACGCGTTGACATTGTACACAGCACTTGACCCAACGGCTGACTTGACGATTGATGTCGGGCCAGCAATAACGTTCGTTGATCAGCCGCGACGTTGCTTTTTGACCACCATGCGCGAGGCCGTGTAACGCGTCGAAAACACTGCGGCGGTAGGCAGCCGGTACGTACGTGCGCGTAGTGCCGGTCGAAAAATCGGCATAAATCGGTCCATACGGTGTGTCTCGCGCTTGCAACCGTAACGCACATTTGTCGGGATTCGCCAGAATTCGTTGTAGCTCCGGGTCGTCCGCTTGAGCTTTCGACCATTGAGCCGGATCGGGCGGTCCGCTTTGCAATGCGGCTGTTTCGAGTCGCGACAAGGCGTCGGGTACGACGTTGTCGGTGCCTTGAATGTGTTCGACGGTGTGAATGTATTGGGACAGAAATGATATTTGACGCACCTGTCGGTCTACGTACTTCTCACTTTTGTGGGTGAACATGAACGTGAGTGGTTTGTGGTCCGTGAATAAAGTGGTTAGGCGGCCTTCAATGAGGTGGATGAAGTAGCGGGTGCTGCTATATGCCGCGAGTAACTCACGGTCGTACGTACTATATCGTGTTTCTGCGTCGGTGAGCTTCCTCGAAAAGAAACCTAGTGGTTGCCAGTCGTTACCGTTTCTTTGCTCGATCACGGCGCCGATCGATGTGCTGGACGCGTCTGTGCTGAGGCGTAGTTCTGCGTTTGGTTTAGGGTGAGCTAGGTTTGCTGTGGCAGCGAGGGCTGTGCGGCAGGTATCGAATGCGGAGCGGGTACTGTCGTCCCACTGTAACGGTCCGTCTTTTTTTTTAATTTGTGCTGCTAAGTTGTACAGTGTGGTCTGCATTTCCGCGGCGTTCGGGATAAATCTACGATAAAAATTTACCGAACCTAGGAACCGTTGTAGGCCTTTTTTGGTCGCCGGAAGTGGCCATCGGTGAATAGTGTCGACGCGGTCTGGGTTGGGTTGACAACCGTCCTTGTTAATTACATGACCTAGGAACGTTAGCGAGGTGACGGCAAAAACACACTTAGCGGGGTTTATCGACATTCCGAACTCTTGAAGCCGCTTCAACACTGTGCGGACGTGTTGCTCGTGTTCGGGTTCGTCTCGTGACGCGATGAGTACGTCATCGATATACGCGAAGGCGTAATCGAGACCGCGCAGCATTTCGTTGACTACGCGTTGAAACGTCTGTGCCGCGTTTCGAAGGCCGAAGCACATCACCGGAAACTCAAATAATCCGAACGGCGTAGTAACTGCAGTCTTGGGTATGTCATGTTCAGCTATGGGTACCTGGTGGTATGCTTTCACCAGATCTAGCTTAGTAAACAGCGTTCGACCTGCCAGGTGTGCAGTAAAGTCGTGAAGATGTGGCAACGGGTACCGGTCGGCGCGGGTGACGGCGTTCAAACGTCGGTAGTCGCCACAGGGTCGGCATGCGCCGTCCTTTTTTGCCACCAGCAGGAGTGGACTGGCCCAGGCGCTTGATGACGGGCGACAAATACCCTTGCTGAGCATGTAGTCGAATTCACGGCGTGCGACCTGACTGCGCTCGGGTGGTAGACGTCGCGGGCGTGCGAATAATGGCGGGCCGGTGGTTCGTAGCTCGTGAACCACGTTATGTTTAAACTTGACGGGTACCGGCGATTCGCGAGTGACGTCGGGGAAAGTCTGCAGCAACTCGGTCCACTTGTGTGTGTGCGAAACGACGAGTGCCGGTGCACTGACGTCATCTACGGAGATAGTTTGAATTACGTTCTGGTCTGACGGGTCGATGAGGCGATGATTTTTGACGTCGATGAGCAATCCAAAATAATGCAAAAAGTCAGCGCCGATGATTGGGCGGGCGACATCTGCCATCTCGAACGTCCAGGCGTAAGTTCGTTTGACACCCAAACACAAACGTAACGTCTTAGGACCGTACGTTTTTATCCGTGTACCGTTGGCGGCCGTCAGAACTATGTCGGAGGCTAGGCGTGCGCCTGCGGTGGGTGGTAGCACGGATATTTCGGCACCGGAGTCGACGAGAAACTGTTGGCCGGTACGCGTATCGCTGACGAACACGCGACGTGTCGCGCGGGCGGCGGAAGTCAGCGGTGCTCCCGCCGCTTCCACTAGTTTTCCGAGCGGAAGCTACACGGGTGGTGGCAATTTTTTGCCTCTTTCCCGAAACGATTGTGGTAGTAACAAAACTCCTTGTTACGCTGGCGCGATTGTGAGCGGTTGCGGGACCGTGACCGCGTAGAATTCCTTTGCCGTGACTGCTGATCTTGCTTCGACTGTGACGTGACGAGGGCGGCTATTTGTGTGGTTAACGCGGTAATTGCACTTTCCATCGTTTGAAATCGATGTTCGAGTGTATTGGACGGGGAAACGGCACAGATTTCGCGTCCGGCGCTCGCGTCCATCACACGATCGGCGCGCTCGGCTAAGGTATCCAAAGGTCCGTCGAGTCCGGATATGACTGTGAGAATGGTGGGAGGTAGTTTTTGCAACCAGAACTCTTTAAGCGCGGCGTCGCCGACGCCTTCGGGAAGGACACATCGCATGTCTCGGAGCATTTGCGACGGGCGGCGGTCGCCCATGCCCCCGTGTTGAACGATGGTGCGGAAGCGAGTCGCTTGTGGAACGGCGTAGGCCGAAATGAGACGATCCCGTACTGCCGAATACTGCGCGTTCGGGCCTAGCAGGTCCGACACCGTTCGGATTCCGTCCTCGTCTAATGCCGTGAGCACGTGGTTCAGCTTGGTCAGATCTGCTCTAATCCGGTTGCTATGGAAGACAGCTTCGGCATGTGTGAACCATTGCTGTGGTGAGTGACGCCAAAATCCGGGAAGACGAACGTGTTCGATCGCGGAAATATTTTGCGGAGCCGGTATCGGACCGGGGACGTTTAACGGCTGTTGTTGCGCGGACGCAGCGTTCGGGTCAACGTGGTTTTCGTTCAGAAGTTCGCCGTCGGCGGCAAAAACGTCAAACAGACTCATTTCGTGAGTTGAAAAAAACACGCGTGATGGTACCGCGAGAATGGTCACTAAATTAACACGCCGGAACCTTTGATTTCGTTCGCAATGGTCTTCCGAGCGTGTTGCGTGTTCGAATCACGTCGAGGTCACCAATTTGGTAACCTTCACCTATTGACAATCCGTCAATACCTACCTACTTTACCAAAATACTGTCATACTACGTAGTGGCCGGCGTGTGGTAATCTTTTGCCCTGCAGTGGTGGGGGAATCATTCGAACGCGTCGGCTCGTTTTTTGATAACGAGTGCGCGCTCCAGTATAGTTTATATACCTCGATGGAAGCCGTATAGTTCAGGCGGCGTTTTATCAATCTGTACTCAACACGGTTAGTGTTTGAAATTTTTGCAGGGCCCCATAGTTGAATTCCGTACGTCCACATTGGTTTAAGATAAGGTTTATAAATTAGTAGCGTGATTGGTAGTTTTATGTGGCTGGAGGTTAGGAAAGAGCGGAGAAGACGAAAACGATTGTTTAAGGACAAAAGTTTGTTGCGAAGATGAGGAGACCAGGTGAGAATTCTCACATACAACTGATGTATTGTATAACGACTGGAATGACTTTCTCAATGCATGGGAAATATTGTCTACTCGAATAGTTGAAATACGAAGAAGTTCTGTTAAAGATAAATTTGGCCAAGTTTTACTATCCAAATTAGATGTATCTCACCAAAAAAAAAAGGTTATTTTTTTTTAGCTATGAACAAACAATATTTCAAATACCTCCTATAACATAAAATTAACAGATAAAAATGTTTACTAATACTATTTTTTAGATTTAAGAACTTCGTATATAGTTAAAATATTGTTGATTCCATACCTTATACCAACCAAGACACAGATCAAAATTTCCAACTGCACTGGTAAATCTAAATACTGGAAGCCATCTTTGTTTGAATCAGTATCAGCCTTTGCTACTCACGTTACTGTAAGTAAAAAAAAAATCTATTTTATCTATATATTAGCTATGGTTAAAAAAAATAATTATTGCAATTTCACATAACACAAATTGAAGTTAAATTTATTTTCTTGATTTATTTATATAATTTATGTTAAGTCAAGATGTGGTTTATAAATAAGCATACAATGGGTTAAATTAAATTTTATTTTTGGATTTTAAATAACACTATACAAGATTTATAATCATAATCATTTTCAAATAATGTTTTAAACTGTGAATATTATGAGTAATTAAAAGTGTTTTTTTTCCTCAGTGTATTAAATAGCAAGTAACACATAAGTTTATTTTTTTTATTTTTATAGAACAATATCGAATTTCAAGAAAATTTAACAAAAAGACAGGAAAGATATGCAACATATGGCTCTTCTATACAACCATTTATCACATTTGTTGTGGATACTGACTCCATTGATTCATGCTACGTGCGTGTAAACCAAAAGTATTGGCGATTTGAGTGTCCCTTAAAGGCACTGGAGATTTGTTTTAAATCGTATTTTGCTTTCCACTGTACATATCCAAAGGAGTGCTATCTCTTGGTTGATGATACAACAACATCATTTATTTAAGTTAACTACTGAATATGATAGATCTTCTTCTATAACAACAACATTAACGGCAAAGCTTCAATCGTTTTAGTAAATTTTAAATAAATAACTTTTACTTTAATTATTTTTGTTTTTTTGAAATATATTAAGAATTAAGTTGTACATTTGTTTTATATGTTCTTCATTATTTTCTTCTATTAACCAACTAATGTTGCATTTAAAAATGTATCACCATCTGGGAGCTCAATCTATATATATTATATATATTTTATACTTATTAA